CAAAGTTAACTGCAGCATACTATGAATTCAGTATTACCAGGATATGTCATCCATTCACTTTGTTGTGTTATCATCCAAAGTGTCAAGCCCCAAGCTTATGTCTGCCCCCATGCTGAAGTCTTTGCTACCCACTACGGAAACATTCAAAGAACATGCACTCAAGAGCACACTGTCAAACAGTAATCTGAACCCCCATCACTTAAACCTCTTCTCTGTGGATGGCTCTCTATAGGTGCATTAAATTTACTTTTACTAGTCAGTACCTCTGCCATCAAATGTGTCACCAACACCAGATGAAATACTGAAAGTGATAGTGTGGGTGTTCCTCTGCACAGCCATGCATGACAAGTGTTTTGTTGACCACCTCTCATGTTCCATGCATGTTGTGAGGCTGAAGAATGTCATAATGGGAGAACAAAAACACCATGAAGAATTTGATGATTAACAAGCAGACTAATGACCCATTGTGAATTAAGAAACTGGTGGAATTGCTTTATGTATACAGTATACACTAGGGAGTGACAGTTTGGCAAAAGTTTTCAAAATCAAGTGGCTTGGGTTGGATTATTTGTCTATCGGCCACTCTGGTTCCGAATATGTTTGAATCTTTAACATCAGTGCATTAGAAGGTTTGTGGATACTTTTCGGTTCGACATGAAAAAAAACAAGAATAATGGTAGACATTCTTTATTATTGGCATGTATGCTTCAAATTATCAGCAGCACACTAGCACAGTTGGCACACTAACATTGGCTGTCCCCACAGTGTCCCCTCAGTCCCAGTGTCCCCACAGTCTAGCACTGGTAGTCCTCTTTCTTAGCCCTCCGCTTGTTTCTCTTCCTGGCCTCCAGCTTGTTCCAGGTGACCTGGTCCTGCTGCCAGGCAGAGCTGGCCACGTCTGCCGCCTCCGTGGTGAGCTTCACTCCTCTTTCCACTGCGGTGGTGGTGCAGGGCAGACCTGGCTCACTGTACGGTTCCTCCAGAAATTGCTCCAGTTCCTGGTCACTGTGCTGGAACAGGATGGGAGGGGAGGAGCTGGCCTTCTGCAGATCAACCAACTCTGACAGCTTGGTGGCTGCCAGATTCAGTTGAGGGTTCCTCACTTTCCTCACTGTCTTTCTCTTGTGCCTTTTTTCCTTCTTCCTCAGCTGCTTGATGATGTTTAGGGCCAACTCCCTCTCACTCTTGTCCATGGAGGCCAGCAGTGAGACCAGCACCACCTCGTGCTGGCCGAAGTAGCCGTTGAACTGGAGGTATGGAGTAAGCAGCTCCACTTCCTCCAGGGTGCAGTACGTCCTCACCCGGTTGATGATGGCGAGGAGGTGGCGTGGGCCCTCCAGTAGCAGATTCCTCTGCCTGATCTCCAGGAAGGAGGGCACGTAGATAAGGATGATGAAGGAGGTCATCCGTCTCTGTGACTCGCTGGGGGAGGTGGTGCTCATGTAGGCCCTCAGCTCCCTGCTCTCCGTGTTTTGCCATCTGGCGTTGGTCATGGCTCCGGCCCGTGCCCTGGCCCATCTCTCCTCAATGTGGCCGGACTCCACCGTCTTGGCCATCTCCAACAGATACCGGGTGTCCCAGCTGAACTCCTCCCAGACGACGGAGGGGATGGCATCCAGGAGAGACCTGAGGTAGGTGTTGGTGACGGCCTCTGATTCAACCACCGGAAGGTCCCACACGAATTGCACGTTGGTCAGCTTCCGAGCCTCCTCACCACTCCAGGAGGCGGGACCAGTGGTTGGGCCAGCGTAATGGTTGAATAGATGGCCGAAGAGCTTCTCCAAACTGTGGATCAGGCAGTGGATGTGGAGGAGAGGCCGTCCCAACAGCCTTTCAAACTCGGCGATGAAACCGTGATTATAGCCACTCAGTTTGTTGCAACCATCGCTAAGGACAACCAGGAGGTCGGTGGTGTCAATACCGCGCTCCTCCAGGAAGGCCAGCAGGCTGGTGGCCAGGTCTACCCCCTTTCCCCCCACCGGGACCAGGTGACCAAGGAACTCCTCACCAGGGAAGCCGATCACTGCACAGTCTTCCCTCTTTTCCATGGCGAATCTCTTGTGGTTCTTCTCACCTACACCAGTCACTATCTTGTTCTCATTGATCCTCTCATCTACCATGAGACCTCTGACCTTGAATCCCCTGAACTTTTCTTTTTTCTGTTCTCGTGACCTCTTCCTGACTCTCTCCACTTTCTTCCAGTTAGTCACTTTAGACTTGTCCCCTTCAGTTATGATGTTGTCTGCAGCTCTGATGGTGTTTGCGATGTGAGCCACTGCATCATTGGATACCTTGAACCTGTCAGCAGTTTCTCCGATCCTGTCCTCGGCTTCTTTCTCCCTTTTCCTTTTCTCTGATCTTGCTCTCCTGTCGACCATAGCCTTGAACTCATTGTCATTGACATCCTTATAATCACTATCTTCTTCCTGAGCACTGTCATCCACTGCCGACACTTTACACGACATCCTCTCCATCTCCTCCTTACTCTTTGACCTCATCTTCTCAGTTTTCCTCTCTTCCTCAGCCCTTTTCTTTGCCCTCTTCGCTTCCTTCTCCCTCTCTTCTTTCAGCTTGGCAGTCACAATTTTGTCAACGCCATCAATGCAGCCCTCCCTTCCCGGTTTCCTCTGGGCTGCCAGGAAGCTTTTCTCTCGTTCGTGCACTTTGCTGTCGTCTGCCACATCAAACAACTTCTCAGCTATATCCTCGAACCTCATCTTCAGCTTCCCGTTCTTCGTTTTCTTCCTTTTCTGTTTCTGTCCATTTCCCTTCATCATCATCGTCTCCCTCCGCATCCTCCACAGGTCGTGGACTCTCATTTTCACCCTAATTTCAGAGATAGTGGGGACAGTGGCCTTCCTATACACATCCAGCACCTTCTCAGTCACCTTGTTGGTGGCATCCATATAATCAAAAGCATTTGTTCTTCTCCTTAACCTCTCGTTTTCTGCTTCATAAGCCAGGGCACTTCCAACTTCCTTGTTCAGAGGCAACTTGTTAGATGGCAGAGGCATCCGAACCCCGAACACCTTATCGTTACCCTGGCGCAGCTGAGTGTTGCTAATCTTAGGACGACCCATCTTGGTGGCGGCCCTTTGAACTAACTGCAAAACAACACAGAAAAAACAACTTTCAGCACTTCAATATCACCACCTATTGAACAATATTTTATTCAAAAGTACGGACTGAGATTTTGTCCTTAACTGTCCAAGTCAAGCTACTTGGGCTGAATTCGTTGATCAGTCCTGGGACGAATATTACCAACGGCGTGAATAGATTCCGTGGAATAAATTCAGGGCATTCCCGTCCAGGGAGCCTCAACAAACTCTGTAAATATTGCCATTGGCCTGCCATTGGCACATATACGGAGTTTGGTAATGTTCCATGAGCGGGAATGTCCTGAATTCATTCCACGGAATCTATCCACGCCGTTGGTAATATTGGGCCCTGGTTTTCGAAATATACGTATGTGGTGACTTGCAGCAAAAATATCGGCATAATTTGTAGCGCACTGAGTTGTAAAACAATAGCATATTATGAACCAGTGTACACAGTAGTCGAATAATCCAATTCAATAACTTGATTTTAACAGGTTGTGCCACATTGCCAGTCCCTTTATTATTTACAGTTTTTTCGCGTTTTTCATGCCAAACCCAAAAGTATCCACAAACCTTCTAATGCAATGATGTAAAAAACTCAAACATATTCAGAATTAGCGTGGCCGATAGACAAATAATCCAACCCAAGCATTTAGATTTTGAAAACTTTTGCCAAACTGTCACTCCCTAGTATACACTGTACAGTACTGTACCCTGTTGTGTGTATTTATGAGAGAATTGCCAGTAAATTGCATTAAATAATAAATTATATGGCCATATTTTGAGTTAACCTTGCCTTCTAAAGTATTTTAAGGATGCCAATAAGAGTTGAAATGTTTATTATATGTTTGCTCTTTTGTTTGCATATAATCAACACATATACAGGTATATATACCCTGTACTGTATATAACTCTGTAAAAGATTATAATAAGTTGAATGCATGTGATTTACTGATTACTTGATTTGGCACCCATCAGATACAGTACAGTATATCATTAACAGGGTCTTACGTAATGGGATCAACAGTACAGTACAGTACAGTACTACAAAACACTTCGTAGTGAAATCACCATTTGGCAATTGGTCGATTTTCAGTTATAACCTCCATTGTCAAGCATTAGTGCAGGAGGAAACTTGTGATATTTTGGACTTTTCATGAGGTAAGAAATCATTTATCTTAAAAAAAAATTCCTCAAGATGTTGGTTTAGGTGCATCCACTACTATATGGTGTCACCAGGAGATAGAAAATTTGTCAAAAGTTGCTGGTTAACCTGGGGCCTTGTACCAGAGTACAGTATTGCCACATATATACAGTACTGTACAGATAGTTTCTGGTGACCCCTTATGTCTGAGAAGTGTTCATCCTAATGCCAAGTGTTTCACAAGTGCTTACAATGATGACGGGTGTCTCACTTGCTTATAATGACACCATGTGTCTCACAGGTATCTGTAATGACTTCAGCCATCTCAAGAGTATTCATAAAGATGTCAGGCATCTCATAAGTGGGCATATAAGTATGCTAGACTTCCCACAAGTATTCACAATTGCCCCAGGTGATTTGCAGATGATCATAATTATACCAAGGGATTCACCAGTGCTCATAATGACTCCCAAGTGCTGCACAAGTTATCATAATGAAACAGAGTGACTCACAGGCACTCAAGTGCTGTTAAATGACTTACACTTATTCCTAATGAAGCTCAGTAACTCATAGGTACCCATAATCATTCCAAGTGAGTCATAGGTATTCATAATGATCTTAAGTGTATCACAGGTGCTGGTAATGATACAAAACTACCCATTTTACAGATAGGTGTATGTTGTAATTGCTCACCGTTGAGGCATGCGATATATTGTACTGTGTCTAGTGTAAGTACAATTTATTACTTTATTTTACAGGAGGCCAGTTTTCGCAAAGCTGTCAATGATGAAGAAGTTCCCGTTAAAATGAAACATGTGCGAAATCTCATTATTGGTACATTCACTGACAAGAATGCAGAGCTTCTATGGAGGAATGTTGCTGTATGTCCCCCAATCAGTACAGATGTTACAGCTTGGAAGTTTTGTCATTGCCTTCATGTTGTCTTCCGTGATGGTCACCCTAGAGTGCTTCGTGATTCTCACCAACATATTAGTCGAATCAAAGATACAGGACAGCACTTTGTAAGTATTATATTACTGTACTTTTCGGTGGTATATCAACAGCCTGCTAGCATAACTGCCTAACTCATTTTTCAGTCAAATTGAGTTACCGTTCATGTATATGCCAAATTATTAATCTCTCCATCAGCAGGTGCTTAAGTCATTAATCCCCCAAAAAAATTCTAGCAAAAACTGCACATCCGCCTATGTCAGTACCGTAGCGTGAGGTAGGCATTTTTCAGGTGCTGATCTGCATGCCACATTTTGAGCAAAATATTTGTATGTGAAAACCACTAAAAAGGAGTTAGGCAATTATGCTAGCAGGCTGATGATATTCAAGATGAGATTTTATAACTTGACACCAATCAGGATTGACCTATGAATATGTGTACCCAAGCTTTTCAGGGTTTTCCCTTGACTATGGTAACTGGTTTTAATCTTAAGATCATTCACTCCAGCGTGACCAGGGGAAGATGGGGCTGCAGCCTCAGGCCCATCAAAGGACATAGCCCACCAAATAAATTGATGAAAAACAGTTTTATTGTAAATTATCTGCAGGATATATAGGTATACAGTACAGTCCTTACTTACACAGACTAGAATCACTTGTTTAAACCTATAGTGCAGTATATACAGAGGTACAGTGAGAGAATAAAGTATCTTTCCAGCACTGGCCAAAGTATGATGAAACCTGACTACCTAACACAGTGAATGATGTCACTGGCAACCCTTTTCTGAGGCTCCACAAGCCTGCCAACTGTTTATGGCTCCACACATGCATGTGTTGAATGGCTCAACTGTTCTGCGATGTATTCATCAAAACCCCAGGAAGTTATTTCATTCTCTCACTGAACCTACAGTATGTGCAGAACAATATGTACAGTAGTAATGTATTTTTTCACATGTTACCGAGAGAAATTTTTCCAGTACAGTAGACCCTCGCCTTTTGCAATTTTGACGATTCATGGATAGCAGATGGTGGCTAGCTTGCAAGCCTTTTTCCGCAGCGCAACGAGTCACCCCATGCGCCTGCATCATCTCCTCTCACTCTGTTCGCGCTCAACCATTGCCTGTGATGCAGCATCTCATGTTTTGTGGTCAAAATTTTAGTGTTTTTGTGTGAAATGACCCTTAAAAGACTGCCTAGCGTCAGTCCTAGTGGAGTGAAATGTAAACGGCAGAAGTCAGAGATGACCCTGACAAAGAAAGTTGAATTATTCGATAAGTTAAAAGAAGGGGTTAGTGCTGCAGCGGCTGGTCGGTTGTTTGGTATTGGTATACCAAAGTATAATTTGCTATTTGCGGTTTTGCCTATTTGCGCCATTCCTTGGAACCTAATCCCAGCGAATAACGAGGGTTTACTGTATCTCTGTATATGTACTACAGTATAGGAATTTAGTGCAGTATTACCTCTATGCAGGTGATCCTCTGTTTAAGAACATTTTAACTTAAAACTTTCTGAGATACAAACATCATCACCGAGGGGGTTACCTGCCGGAACAGGTGTTTAATGTGGATGAGACTGGATTATTTTGAAGAAAATTCCAGATAGAACAAACATTACCTACTGTAAGAGGAGAAAAGTGAGCCAGGTTTTAAGGCTGTATTAAAGGGTATAGCTGTACTAAATATTCATAACCTTTTCATCTTTTACAATATGTTTGATATCTACAAGGGTAAAGTTGGACTTACAAACAAGCCTCAGGAACTTAACTCGTTCATAAGTAGAGGAGCACCTGCACTGTACTGAAATAATTGGTGAGCAGTCAGTATTGTATAAGGAGTTTTTCAGTATAAAACAAATCTGAAAAACTCTTTCAATACCTAACTTTGTTCAGTACACTATACAGTACTGTATATGAAGAAGTTTGGTATTTTTAGTCCACAAATTGTCACAATACTGTACTGGATTTTTTTTTTTTGTTATACAGGAGGTCCTCGGGTTACGATCGGGTTCCGTTCCTGAGTACGTTCTTAAGTCAGATTTATTTGTAAGTCGGAATACATGCTATGTGTTTACCGTACTTACAGAACAATCTTTAAAATCCCACTTCAGTATGTATACCAAAGCCTAAAGCCTTATTTACATCCAAACTCACTTAATTTAAGACAAAAGAAGAAGTAGAATGACAAAATACAGAAAATGAAAGTAAAACATAGGTCATCAGGTAAATAAAAGGCTATAAATGTCAAGTTTAACCCGTTCGTATTGGCTGGCATTCGTAAGTTGGGGACCCCTTGTATAAAATATAGTTTGATAACACAAGACTTTATTTAACACTAAATATCATACATACATAATACCTTAAAAATATACAGTAACACAAATATTGTACAAAAAGTAGTTTATATTATATAAACAATTTCCTCTTTGGCTGGCTTAGTGGTCGGCTGTTTGTCTATGTAAAGGGAGCACCAGAAATTTAATACGGCATAGTAACTCATCCGGGGTTAAGTGTGGGAATTTTTTTTGCGTGGGGGGAATTTGATTAATTAAAGTAATTTTTATTAACCCAGCACCAATTGAATGTAAATAATATGGGAATCATGGTGAAATTGTGTACAATACTGTTATTTTTATGGGGGTCGCGGGAGCGAAGGGAGAATTTTCCATACTGTCCAGCCAGCAACCCGCCTTTCCAACCTTCTCCCCTACACAGAAATAACTTCCCAATATTGTTCTCATTTTTCTTACTTTATAGTTTAATATTATATTTTCTAACTCACATTAGAGTTTTGTATTACAGTATGTATTATAGTATTTGAATATTTGAGATATTTTGGGAGGGGTTCAGTATACTGTACTGTATACTGAATTCATTTGGAATAGAGAGATGCTATTGGAAACTGAGGAGCAGTTCGGTATAGCGAATTTCAGTATACTGTATAGAAGTTTGGTGCAGAGAGGTAATATTGTACTGTACTGTTATTGCATGATTATTGTTTTATTATCATGAGAAAGGTGAAGATGGGTGTAGATGGTGGTGGTGGTTGCTAGCTGATGACAAATAACCATGAGATAGAGATATTCCACATACCTCTCAGTTGTATTTTATCTGGAACAGGAACACCCTGATTAATGAATGGGGTTAGGGACCAATGGACCAGTTTTTAAGGCAGTTGTTTGGATCCCAAAAGCTAATTCTCCATAGGAGCCATTTAATTATAGGTGATTAGGTTCTGAACTGTCTCAAAACTCCCTAATTTTGCTCAAATTATACCTTGTTGCTGTACTCACTGGACATGGTGTTTGTTGGAGTGGGGGATGGCTGGTTACATTGTTGGTGATGAGAAAGGAGACACCTGGCAATGAAGGTCTATTGTGGCATTTTCTTTCAGAAAAGACCTGTCCATCACCACTCTTTAATGCTGCTTAAATTATCTTTCTTTTTAAGTCTGTCAAACCATTCACTGCTGGCCAAAGATGTTTCCTCACTAGATTACTCGCATCTCTTTTCCTTCTTATCGTGGAAAAGATTTCTCCCTTTTTAATTGCCATAAGGTTAATCGGCACTAGGCACTGATTGTGGTCCTCGATCTGCATGGTGAGCAGTTTGTCCATCTTCACAAGTACAACACTTATCTGCTCATTTATTACAGTAGACTTCTTTGGAAAATTTCACTTCAGATGTTTGATTATTCTGATTTTGTCTTTTAAGAATTATTTGAGCCCTAATGAATGGCTGATTTGCCTTGGAGTCTCACTCTTTTTGCTTGATAGTGTCTACTTTTTTTTACAATGTCAAGTTCCTACACGTTCTTGGCAACAGGTGTACGAGTATCCCTCGATTTACGATCTCCCTGTCTACGATATTCTGTTTTAACGATGGTCATGTATTAAGACCACCCTCCTATCTACGATGTAAGCAGTCCTCATGAATGATTGTTCATTGTCTGGCCAAAGCACTTTACAGTCACAAAAGAACTTAGCAAATATCACTTCACAGTCACCAAACTAGAATACAATGTGAACATTAGTGATGTCCTCCCACTGTAAGGTAAAATAACTAAACACCGATGATAAGTAACACCGATACTAACAGATAATCGTTGAATTACACAATCTTGGCCATGTAAGATCACCATAGAACACACTGTAGCTTGCTACTGTAGTGCACCAGGTGGCCACTTGGTGGCGCTCCTTGATACTAGAGGGTTATAGATAGGTTCAAAATCTATTGTAGACTTAGTTAGATCTGTGTTACATAGGACCTGAGGATGGAGCATCCTGGTATTCGTGGTGCTTTGTTAGGCTATTTATGGGGGGACTGCTTGTCTCCTTTCCTATGAAGCCTACATGTAAGTCATTAAATTTGTGGTTTGCCTGGGACAACACCAATGGGGTCTTCTTGATGTAAGGGAGTCTGGATGTTAGCTGAAAAGTTACACATGACTGATTAACTTTCTTTCATTATTTAAGTGAAGGAAACTCCCTGTAGAGATGCATGTCACACAACACTTGGAATTTTATATCTGCCTCCTCCTTTCTATGGTTATCTTCTGATACATGAGCTATTCTGAGCTGGCTTCAAGTTATAAATGAAGGTTTGGTACTAAAAGCCTCCCACCTCCTTTAGTTGCTTCTAAGGTTGTCTGGGCATGAGTCATTTAGTACAGTACTACAAACTTTCTTTGTTACTGAGACAGTTGAGGTACAGGTTGGTTTAGGAAGCTGTGTGGTGTATGACTCAGACTTTTTATTTGGACAACCTTGGCTTCTAATCTTCCTCTTATGAGGGTGATACAGTAGTTGCTGCTGGGGAGTAAGCTTATCTTCAGATTAAACCTTGCCACTTTAGTTTTATAGTTCCCTATTATCAGTGATACATTATATATGAGTTGCTCCCCATTAGCTCAGCTATAAAATGGATTTTCTGATCAAATCCTCATTTTTTACAAATTGAATTCGTATTATCATAAACTTCCCATCCTTCTCCTCACAGCGGCACCTTACCCATGGCTATGGACGGCTGATCACTCGATACTGTGAGCTGCTGATTGCAAAGTTAAAATTCCACCAACTTTACCCTAGATTTCCTGGTTCATTGTCTGTGACCCCTGAGGAACTAGAAGCCCTTGCAGAGAATGATGCCAATAATTAGTAAGTATCTACCTCATGTAAACCATTTTTTCACAGGTCTTATGGTGTTTTCATCTGTTTATGCAGTATAGTTGTTAAAGAGTTTTCATTATACATCACTATCCACACATTTCCATGCTGACACTTCTGCACTGACATACCCATACTTAATCCTTTAACATCATACTACCTGACACTTAAATAATTACCTTAACAGAGAGGAAAGTTTTTTCTTTCTTGCAAGCCTTTTCCTGTGCAGTAATATTACCAGAAATATACCAGTGGCAACTAATTGACACCCCCCCCCCCAACTATTTTTTTTAAAGAATCTGGGTTCAGCTCTCATAGGCTTTCAAATTTTGTGTGAAGGGTTATAATGGAAGATGAGAGTGTGTGAAGGGTTATAATGGAAGGTGAGAGTGTGTGAAGGGTTATAATGGAAGGTGAGAGTGTGTGAAGGGTTATAATGGAAGGTGAGAGTGTGTGAAGGGTTATAATGGAAGATGAGAGTGTGTGAAGGGTTATAATGGAAGGTGAGAGTGTGTGAAGGGTTATAATGGAAGGTGAGAGTGTGTGAAGGGTTATAATGGAAGGTGAGAGTGTGAAGGGTTATAATGGAAGGTGAGAGTGTGTGAAGGTTATAATGGAAGGTGAGAGTGTGAAGGGTTATAATGGAAGATGAGAGTGTGTGAAGGGTTATAATGGAAGATGAGAGTGTGTGAAGGGAAGGATGAGTGTGTGAAGGGTTATAATGGAAGGTGAGAGGGTTATAATGGAAGGTGAGAGGTGAAGGGTTATAATGGAAGGTGAGAGTGTGTGAAGGGTTGTGAAGGGTGTGTGTGAGGTTATAATGGAAGGTGAGAGTGTGTGAAGGGTTATAATGGAAGATGAGAGTGTGTGAAGGGTTATAATGGAAGATGAGAGTGTGTGAAGGGTTATAATGGAAGGTGAGAGTGTGTGAAGGGTTATAATGGAAGATGAGAGTGTGTGAAGGGTTATAATGGAAGATGAGAGTGTGTGAAGGGTTATAATGGAAGATGAGAGTGTGTGAAGGGTTATAATGGAAGATGAGAGTGTGTGAAGGGTTATAATGGAAGGTGAGAGTGTGTGAAGGGTTATAATGGAAGGTGAGAGTGTGTGAAGGGTTATAATGGAAGGTGAGAGTGTGTGAAGGGTTATAATGGAAGATGAGAGTGTGTGAAGGGTTATAATGGAAGATGAGAGTGTGTGAAGGGTTATAATGGAAGATGAGAGTGTGTGAAGGGTTATAATGGAAGGTGAGTGTGTGTGAAGGGTTATAATGGAAGGTGAGAGTGTGTGAAGGCTTGCAATGGAAGGGAGTGTGTGAAGGGTTATAATGGAAGGTGAGAGTGTGTGAAGGGTTATAATGGAAGGTGAGAGGACCTACACAACACTCGGTACTGAGCCCCCCAAAAAGTTTGATTTGTGGTCAGATGTTGTCTTAGGGTGTCATGGAGTTATTCTTGTCCTCAAAGGCTTATTATTTTATTTCCAGCACCAAGTTTGACCTTCAGTTGACCTCAGTTAGAGTTCATAGGCATTTTATAAAGTATAATACTGTACATATCTGAATTTAATCTGGGAAAAAAGGTTTTTCAGGTTACTGTGATTCCTTCTGAGTTAAAAGAGGTTTAAAGAATCTTCACCCAGTTATGAGGCATGTTATTAAACGTGGTTAGCAAAGGAAGTGTCTGTCTTATCTGTTTACTTTAGACTGGCTGACTCTGGACGCATCTCCGAGAAGGTTAATTGTGGTATCAAGTGATTAGCAGCAATACTGTACTACTTGGAAAGATTTGTAACTGAGAGGATGACCGTGGACATTCAACTATCTTTTTATTTATTTTTAATTTTTTTTTTACGGGCATTAGCCCACCCGGGCACAGGTCATTTTATGATACACATCAAGGCCTGGGGGGCGAAAATATATTAAGATAATAATAATAAAATTAATAATAGTTAATATAAATTATAATTATAATAATAATAATAATAATTATAGTACAGTGGTCCCTCGGTTAACGAGCACAATCCGTTCCAGCAGGTTGCTCGTTAACCGTAAATCTCGTTAACTGAAACCATTGTTTCAATGGGTTTTTGGGTAATTGGTTCCAGCTCACCGAAAATTGCCTAAATTCAACAAAAATGGTAGAAAAGTTCACTTACTTTGAGGTGTGTATGTAGAAGGCTCCTGGATGATGATGATGATGTGAATTTGAAGTGGGAGGTGGAGGAGGAGAAGGGAGAAGAGAAGGAAGTGGAGGTGGAGGAGAAGCATTTTACTGCTTCTTGGAAGGTGAGTCACCTTCCATGAAAATGTCAGGAACCTCTGGACTGACAGATTCTCCACCATGAACATCCTCTCTCCTTCTTGAAGTGGAAGGCTGAGGGCTAGCATCATCCTCTCTCCCTTGAAGTGGAAGGCTGAGGGCTAGCATCTTGTTCCCTCTGCCTTTTACTGAAGAAAGTGTCAATTGTGGTCTGTGGGGCATCTGTCCTCCTCACCATTAACTTATGTTTAAAGAAGGAGACCACTGAGTCCTCAACATGACACAAAGTTAGTTCAGTTTTTTCCACTTCTGGGTGCTTTGAAGCCAGTTCCCTGAACTTCTCCCAGTAGTAAATCACATCTTTCAACTGTTTAGCTGACATATGGTCATCACTTTCAATTTCCTCCTCACCACTGTCAGCCTCTACCTGTAACATCTCATCCAGTTGCTTCAAGTCATCAGGAGTAAGTTCCTCCTCATGAGACATCACAAGCTCTTCCACATCCTCCTCCTCCACTTCAAGGCCCAATGACTGACCAATGGACACAATCTCCTGGTCCAACTCTGTTTCTTCCTCAAATCCCTCAAAATCATGGACTACTGATGGCCACAGTGCTTTCCATGAAGAATTGAGGGATCTAGTGGAGACTTCTTGCCATGATGACACAATCAATTTTACAGCCTCCAGGATGTTGAATTGTGTCTTCCAGAAATGTTTCAGTGTTAGTTCAGGATCATTGGAAGTTGCCTGATGACACCTCCTAAACATTTTCTTCATGTACAACTTCTTGAAGTTGCTGATCACATTCTGGTCCATTGGCTGTATGATTGATGTAGTGTTTGGAGGCAAAAACAACACTTTCACAAAGTCAAATTGATACTCCAAATTTCTGGCAAGGTCAGGGTCATGACCAGGAGCATTATCCATGAGGAGAAGAGCCTTTAAAGGGAGTTTATTGGTGGTTAGGTAGCTCTTGACAGAAGGGCAAAACACATCAACAGCCCATTCATTAAAGAGCTGTCTTGTCACCCATGCCTTACGGTTGGACTTCCAATAAACTCCAAGCTTTGTTCTTACCACTTTCTGTTGCTTGAACACCCTGGGGTTTTCAGAGTGGTAGACAAGCATAGGCTTCAGTCGGAAATCCCCTGAAGCATTGGCACCAAGCAATAGAGTGAGACGGTCTTTCATGGGTTTATGCCCAGGTAAAGAGGCTTCATCTCTGGTGATGAATGTTCTTTTGGGCATCTTTTTCCAGAACAGCCCAGTTTCGTCCACATTGAACACTTGCTGTGGAAGATAATTTTCTTCTTCCATCAGTTTTTTAAATTCATCTAAAAACTTTGCTGCCCCTTCCTTATCAGCACTAGCAGCTTCACCATGCCTAACAACACTGAAAATGTCACTTCTTTTCTTAAATTTTTCGAACCAGCCTTTGCTGGCCCGAAAATCTTCAAATTCTGTGCCTGAAGAACCAGGTTGATCTGTCTTTAAATGTTCGTAAATCTCCCTGGCTCTTTCACAAATGAATTCAGTAGAAACTGAATCACCTTTCATCTGTTTTTCCCTAATCCAGATGATAAGTAACCTCTCAGTTTCTGCAATTAGGGATCTACTTTTAAACACTCTTGTAGATTTGTCTCTCACTTTCACTTCTTTAAATTTGTCTTTCTGTGCAAGAATTGTCGACACAGTTGATGTCGACATGCCATATTCTTTGCATAGCGCATTTGTTCTAATGCCTTGTTCATGTTTTTTTATGATTTCCTGCTTGGTTTGGATTGAAATAGCTTTTCTTGATCTCTTAGGCCCCATGCTGGATTCAAACAATGTCAACACGTGCTTTTCAAAGTTAAACTTGTTGTAAATAAAGAATATTTTCTTTAAAATAACACTGCACTGCGCTATATATTGTCAATATGTAAAATAAATTTCAAAATGACCAATAATTTGCTTGGAAACACAGAAAAAAAGCATTTAGTTGAAGAGAGTCTCAAGCAAGATGTTACCTCCAGTGAAAACAGAGAGAGACTAACGCCTGTTTGCTGTGTTAAGAGGCTGGATGCCGCGCATTAAACTAGTCACTTTACCTTCAATTATGTTCAATAATTGTTAAAATGACTAAAAAATTTAATATTAATCTTTTAAAATTATTGAATAGTATAAACTTCTTGATATATACTAAAATAATAAGGAATTTAAGCCCTAGAACCGATTAATGTATTGGCGGACTAATACTACAGCTGGTTGACCGCCCAGTGCAAGCCAAAACTTGTTGAGGTCGGCTCGTAAGAAACTCGTTAACCGAGGGGTTGCTCGTTAACCGAATGTAAGAATCTTATGGGAGGTAACTCGTTAACTGAAATCTCGTTAACCGAGGCGCTCGTTAACCGAGGGACCACTGTAATAATAAAGAGCCATAAATAAATACGAGAATTTAAAAAAAGATCAAAAGTGAGAAACAATATACAGTATGTATGTTGTGTTGTCAATAGTAAGAGAAACAATTGAGACCCTGTAATTGTGTGTAAATGAGGCAAAAAGTCAGATCATTAACCTGGGACTTGGTCACAATTTTCGTGATGCCATATGGCAGCAGGGTTTATCATTAGACAATATATTATGCTTCCAATATCTTCCCAGGCAGTAGTACCTCCCTGTTTGGTAGCTGCCTACTACCTATATCTTTTATTGTGAGTTTCATTTCCAGAGTTGACATTACTCCTACCAGGAACATACTGCTTTTAGTTTCTTCTAGTCACAGTATCAGTGGCTAAGTTACCAGTGGGACACTAGAGCTGGTTTGGTTGATTGTCCAACTGAGAAATTTCAATCATCTACAGGAATCTACCTGTATGTGTTTTGTCCCATCAAAAATTGTCTAGCAGCTCCTGTAGTGGGATTTGTTAGCCATTTCACAAGGTTTATGAGGACGAATCAGTCTGCAAGTACAAGACTTAAGGACAGTCTGGGCATTTTCCCTGGGAACATCAAACTGGTGCTTATTTTATGATGTGGGTAACCCAGTGATTGTTCTCGTCCTTCTCATTCTGTGGACCAGAGGTTAAACCTTGCTTGTGGAGGTTAAGTACAGTACTGTACTGTATTTGTAAATGATGTTTGTTTGCAGTCCCACAGTTGCCTCCTAAGAAGAATTTGTTTGTTTGGACAGTTTCCTCCCAGCAAGGATGGTGTTCCTATGACCCAGATGCTTAGGGAATTGTGGTAGTATAGTCTCTGATTCTCAAGAATTTTTTTTAGCTTCTTGAAGGAGCTATAGGTGCCTTGCATCTACATGGGAGTCACAAGGAACAAGATTTATGGGGAGGGGTATCTTGTTTTTTTTATTAAAACACTGCTGCATGTAAAAGAAATAAAGTCCCTTTGGGTTCTTTCCCTTGTGGATGGCTTCCAAAGCATTGTTCATGTAGCACATTGCTGGGGCATTTAAGGTCAGGTAGGTTTATTGTTGAGGAATAGATTGATGCCATTAAACTAATGGATATTGGAATTCAATATTTTCCTTTGAAGCTTCCTTTGAGAGTTCCTTCATTTGTGGATTACTTCACTCTTGATGATCATCAACTCTCAACTTGTTGACTGTGGTGCAGGAGGGCATAGTGACAGTTTAGGTATTTTCCATGGATTGAAATAACTGAGATTAATTTGTGTTTAGTTCTGTTCCAAATGTTTCAAACAAACTTGAAGATGGGGAGGTTCTGTTGTCTTTCTACACTGATGGCTGTCCTCTAGTTTAGTAGGGCTTGGCTTGCCTTCCTCCAGTGGCTTAGTCCATATCATATTCAGATTTGCTCGTTGATGAGTCAAGTTATCTGTGTGAATTTGCTTGGTACTCTGGTTACCTGGCTTAAGGAGAGGTTAGTTGGGATTGGTGTTTGTGTTGAATGTATTTCACCCTAGCTATTATGGTTGAGGGTTGGCACTCCAGTTACAGTGTCATGGTTGAGTGTGTGACACCCTAATGATTATGGTTGAGTGTGTGGCACCCTAGTGATTATGGTTGAGTGAGTGTGTGGCACCCTAGTGATTATGGTTGAGTGTGTGGCACCCTAGTGATTATGGTTAAATGTTATATATGAGGGTTTGATCCTGAAAACACATTTTATAACAGGGCTACTGAGGACATACTGTACTTGAATCCCACTCTCACCCACCCTTCTGGGATACACTCAGAGGTTTGCTGGAGTGAGGGAGCTGTTGGCTTATGACACAACCACATAAGAAGTGTATTGAGATTAGAAATATGAAGGTATGCCTTTATTACATAATAATATTATATATTTTACACTCAAAAGTATTTATAATTATTATACAAAATTATTTAATACTACTACACCTTTCACTTCAAAGTTATACATACATTTATATATATGCTGTATTTTTTTTTCAGTTTTGAGTTAGCAGTTGAATTGCTGGAGTACATGGAATGTATATTAAATCTGTATGATGCAGGTAAGTAGATTTGGACTTTAAAAAAAGAAAAGATTTAGTTTGGTTAGGTCTTGTTTTCATGCAAATTGCATTCTATAAGCTAACTTATGATGGTAAAAAATATGATTGCATACAGTATTTGAACCCCAGAAATTCTTTCATACCCCAAAATTTTACTTAAAAAAAAAGATTAATATAAATAATAATAATGTAGGCTTCATTACTGATGTATTGTATCATGCAATTCATGTACTGTGTCACCAAGTTTGTGAACTGATACCCCAAATCTTTGCACTTAAAACATGCTTTAGAGTAAATCATGGTGGCATAAAACACAAAAATCTCAGAGATATTACTTACAGGACAAAGCCAAACAATACACTAATGCATAACATTATACTGAGTTTATGAAATCACTGTAAATCACTTTAATATTTCCTCTAAACACATATTATTAAAAAAATATTAATTTGTTTCATAAATTACAAATTTCAATACAGTATAGATCCACCAGAAAAAAAGGTATTTTAATATAAATTTATACAATAAATATTGGTAACTGGAGTGTTTTTTTTATACATGTAGTGTAAAGTCACAGTGAGCTATGTGAGGTACACTACTGTACACTCAGTAGTAGTCCCTGGACCATACGAAATTAAAACTATATTTTTTTACTTTACAGTACAGCTACTCCTCAACTTACGACCTACTCGACTTACGACCACCCGGACATACGACCACCCCAGTCATACCATTTTTTTTAAATTACGTGTTTTTGAGTCTCGACGTTAGTGATTGCGCTGTGTATTGACAAAATTTTTGTTTGTAATTCCCTTTAAAATGGCTGGCATGCTTAAAAGTGTCAGTTTTGAGAAGAAAAAGAGACACCCATTTTAGATTTTCTATGTATTATCTTCGCATTTTCGACTTACAACCTGGATTTGGGTCCCTAACCCGTCGTAAGTCGAGGAGTGGCTGTATTTGCACATACAGTGCAGTAGTCCCTCACCAACCACAGGTGTTAGGTTCCTGAAAAACCCCGTGGTTGGTGAATCTGTGGTTGGCAAGACTAAAGATTTATGGGAAATGGGTGGTTAGGTGCCACGGCCACAGATAACACTTGTTAAAGCCTAACTGATTCCCCAGTTGATCTCACATTGGGCAGGCTGTACCTTTTCTTAAAGTTTTTGAATTAGCCCTTACTGGCTTGAAACTTTTATGTCTGCTCCACTTCCCTCACCCGAACTTTCAGCAAGGTGGCTGTACATCCACCAGGCCTTTGCAACAATTATCTCGAGCTTAAAGATACATTTTTCTGGTCCTAGTCTTCCATCCATATGTTTAGTGCCTTTTCCATCTTTTTAAGATTATGGTTGCACAGCATATACGACACGACACTTTTTGCACTTTTCGATGTACCCCCAGCAACACTTGCCCTTATCATAGCCTCACTCTCTTTGACAGTAGGAATTGAGGATTTTTTAATTTACATGGTATAGCACATGCTACTATCCACGTGCTAGTCTATCGATGTACCCCCAGCAACACTTGCCCTTATCATAGCCTCACTCTTTTTGACAGTAGGAATTGAGGATTCCTTTACCCCATAGCACGCATGCTATACTCTCCCCACGTGCTAGTCTATCAAGCACTTCAACTTTCTTTTCTAATGTCATTCTGTTCCTTTCCTCTTTTCACCTTTTAACCTTTATTACTAACACTCAGTATATGCTTAGGAGCCATAGTTAAGGGCAAAATCAATGTTATTATAGTAGAAAATAAGTGAGAGAATACTGAGCAGTTAAATACATCTGGATGTTATGAAACCACAACACTGAGAGAGCGAGGAGAGCAGTGGCGGCCCGTGGGAGATGGGACATTGTGCGGAGGGATAGACTAATCCATGGATACATCAAACTTAATGCCATGGTTGGTAAATTGGTGTACAGAGTGATAACCATGGATACGTGGAATCTGCAGTTGGTGGGGGTCTACTGTACAGGTATATGTGAATATGTCTGGTAATTGTTTGTTTTGTATTTTACCTGTACAAGTATACCCCATTGATCACTGTTTTGCATAACCAACAATTATATATTAAGAAAATACTCTTAAGTTTCGCTGACTACGCTGTTGATCCAACGATTGGAGGAGCAGCAGCAGCAGAGTGCTTTTGAGTTTGGAGTGTGATGGTGTGGTGAGAATTCATGTCAAGAGTATGCAAATTTGTATTTCATGAATTATCAAGACTACAGTACATATGTTGTTCATATCTCTCTCTTCTTTCTCTTCTGTTTCTTCTTTTTTTCTCTTTCTTCTTTTGCTTCTCTTTTCTTCTTTCTCTTTTCTGTTTTCCTTTCTTTTCTCTTATCTTCTTTCTCTTCTTATCTTCTTTCTTTCTCTTATCTTCTTTCTCTTTTCTATCTTCTTTCTCTTCTCTTATCCTCTTTCTTTTCTCTTATCTCCTTTCTCTTTTCTATCTTCTTTCTCTTCTCTTATCTTCTTTCTCTTTTCTATCTTCTTTCTCTTCTCTTATCTTCTTTCTTTCTCTTATCTCCTTTCTCTTTTCTATCTTCTTTCTCTTCTCTTATCTTCTTTCTCTTCTATTTTCTTTCTCTTCTCTTATCTTCTTTCTTTCTCTTATCTTCTTTCTCTTTTCTATCTTCTTTCTCTTCTCTTATCTTCTTTCTCTTCTATCTTCTTTCTCTTCTCTTATCTTCTTTCTCCTTTCTCTTTTCTATCTTCTTTCTCTTCTCTTATCTTCTTTCTCTTCTATTTTCTTTCTCTTCTCTTATCTTCTTTCTTTCTCTTATCTTCTTTCTCTTTTCTATCTTCTTTCTCTTCTCTTATCTTCTTTCTCTTCTATCTTCTTTCTCTTCTCTTATCTTCTTTCTCTTTTCTATCTTCTTTCTCTTCTCTTATCTTCTTTCTTTCTCTTATCTTCTTTCTCTTTTCTATCTTCTTTCTTTCTCTTATCTTCTTTCTCTTCTATTTTCTTTCTCTTCTCTTCTCTCCGACTTGTGTTATACTTTCTCTTCTGTTTAACCCATAAACAATTGCTACCATTTTAAGTGGAGTATATATTGTCTTTAATGGGGATAGTGTGGTGTAATCAGATTTGACATAGGCCTAACGAGAGCCTATGTGTGGGACTGGCCGTTGCCACAATCGCAAGTTCGTTTTTATTTCATTGTTATAAGAAATTGTCGCATGATCAGCCTGTTATGGTGTATGTTTTGTCAAATAACATAACATACATTATTAAATAATAAAACAAAATATGACACAGGTGCCAGAGGAGGTGGGAAACATAAACAGAGTTGTCAATTGTTGTTTGTGGGAATATTATTTCATTCACTCTAGTAATGATACAATGTTTCTTATTATGTTATCATAGGTAAATGCTTGGTTTATATAATTTGTTTATCACTGTGCCTGTCACTGTTTTTAAATTAGACTACAAGATATGTATTTCTCCCATATTTCGATCGTACGCCTGGCAACGGGTGCAAGTAAGGGGAGTGAGTGACTGCTAGTTGAGCATCGTCTGTAGTTGTGACTCTTCACTCCCTGCCATAAATCACTGGATTTACTGTTATTATTAGTGTTTACTGATATAATAGTGCTTGATAGTGATTAATCACGGCATTTTAGCCAGGTTAGACTTGTCATTGTAACAAACAGGCTACTGGGTCAAGCTTAGAGATGTTATGGTTGTTTTTCAACTCGTATTTTAAGGTAGATATATAGTATTTTCTCGATTTAACGAACAAATTCAAGCCATCCTTGTTCGTTAAATTGAAATTTCAGCAAAATCGAGTTTTTCGTTATGTTTGCTCGATTTACTGATTTATTTCACTAAATCGAGTGTATTTCCGTTAAATTCAGCACCAAATGCGCCATACATCATTTGGTGCATCGGATTTGTTTACATCCACTCAGTCTGTGTCCTGCTGCCACTGTGTGTGTTGTTCACTGCTACCTCTTGATCAACTAACTACTATGGAGCACCTTAGCTTTCATCCTTATTCAAGACATCTTCAGAGGCAACTGAGTTTGTAGGTACTGAGAGAGGCTTATGTACAATGGGTGACCTTACATAACATCAGGTCAGGTCAATAACATGGGATCCACTGATACACACACCACCTCCACCACAAACGAAAAAAGAGCTTATAAAAAATGGGTGACATCATAACAGGTTAAAAATATGAGACCCACTAATCATCTACCCTATATCCACCTCAAATGCTTTCAAAGCATTTTTAACCTAAGGCCAGTTATTATTTGAGACCCTTACGGGCCCAAGCATTTTGGATAAACGATACCCATGCTGTACTGTATACAGTATGTTATTTTAAGAAAACTATGGGTACAGAAGGAAAATACACAAAAGTTTTTCCTAAATACTCCCTGCTAATGTGGGGGCGGTGCATCTTTTATGCTGTAAAATATAGTACTGTATTTTTTGGCGTTTCTTATGTCATAATTTATCACTTTTATACATTTGGTACATTCGCCGGAAAGATACGGACAATCGGCTTTTTCGGACAGGTGGTCCGCGGTTTAGTTCGGATTTTCGAGGGTTCACTGTATTCTCATTTTGTATAAATTATTATTTGCATACTCTTATTTTTTTCCCATAAAGAAAATGTAATTAAAAACCTACCCAGTGTCATCTGATGTTTCAAGAAGATTTTTTACTTGGTATGAATCTAACTCCAAGTATACAGTACAGTATACTGTAATGGGATATGCATAAATTTATGCATTTTTTATTTATAAATGGTTTTCTAGGAGTGTAACCCTTTTATAAATTGGGGGATCTAGCTTTATACTGTTTAGAGAAGTTCTGATTAGAAGTTAAGTATAAGTATCAGCTCTACAGTAAACCCTCAACAGAGAATGATCCAAAAGTCTTAGCATCTAATTTGTTGGTATGCCATAATTTCAGTTGAGTAGGAATCTTGCTCACTCTTGTGATAACCACCAGTCATGGCAACTTAGATGTTTTTGGCACTTGCATTCTTTTCCATGACTAGTGTTCTATGGGTATATTTGTGCTGTCACAGTGTTAATTTTATACCTTAACACTGCTGTCTGGTCAGCTGACAGAAGAAATTGAACAACCATTGCTGTATCCAAAGTAAGATTCATATAAAGGGAAACATCACTTGAGCAACATTTACTTGAGATTCATACCGTAGTAATTAACAAAATACACACCACGTAGTGATGGAAAAAAATGAGGAATTGTAATCTATAGTCTTTTAATATAAGACTTATATGGTGAGAATTGCAAATTTTGAGAGCAGGAATTGCTGGCAGCTGCTAGTAAACACTTGTTCTCCCCAAATCTCATTAAATTTCACCATATCCCATTGAATTATGACAAAATATGAGTTGCTTTTTTATAGATTTAGTGAGAGTTGACCGAGTTAAATGTGTGCATGGATCATAAATCTTTATCCCAGAATCATTGAATTCCTAATTATGAAATCTCAATTCTGCCACTATTGGAATGCCTTGGTATTTGTTTATATACTGTATTGTACAGTCCACTGCACCACCTCTCTCTGACTTGACTATGTGTGCTATATTTTATTATTTTTTGCATTATCCATCAAGACATATTCTGCTGGGGAGCTTAGGAGGAACATAGATTTATTTTGTGGGTTGTAGAAGTTTTGGGTAATAACTTAAAATACAGAAATTTTGTGTGGGGTCAAGAAATGCATCTATTTTTCTCAAAAGAAGATCGGTATGAGACCCCATGGTACTTTGTACAGTGATGCAATAATGTTACTGTAATTTCTTTTCAGTGTTTGCGTCTTTGGATCCATCACGTGCCAACTCCATGACTCGTTCTGGTCAGTGTCGCTTAGCTCCTTTGATCCCATGCATTCAAGATTCCTCATGCCTTTATGATTGTACTGTAAGGATCCTATTTCAACTCCACAAAGGTGTGTGAATCAATTTTTCTGTTTCTTAGAATGAAGATTTAGAATATCATTAAATTCAGTTTGTGTAGTAGGAATAATAACATTGCCAACTCCATGACTCGTTCTGGTCAGTGTCGCTTAGCTCCTTTGATCCCATGCATTCAAGATTCCTCATGCCTTTATGATTGTACTGTAAGGATCCTATTTCAACTCCACAAAGGTGTGTGAATCAATTTTTCTGTTTCTTAGAATGAAAATTTAGAATATCATTCAATTTTTTTTGTGTAGTAGGAATAATAACATTGAAAGTGCTGTACGTACAGTCTCGTTCAAGATTCTTCGAACACTGCTGGAGACAGCTGGCAACTCGAGGCCGTTTGTTTACTATAGTGCGTAGTATAATATAATATTGAACAACGAAGCCCTACTACTAAATTAAGCAACGGGGAATTAAGTAACCAATCACCGATTCACTTTTACATTCATTCATAATTTTTACTACGTACTATAGTAAACGGCCTGAGTTGCCAGCTGTCTCCAGCAGTGTTCGAAGAATCTTGAATGAGACTGTACCTGTATGCTCTGTTGTAATTAACTTTGAAGAATATTTATTCGTTTACAGAGAAACCCACTTTTTTGTCCTATACATCATGTGTAAGTAAGGTTTATGGGATTCTTTTCACACACACACACCCACCCACCCACATATTTTCCCTCGATTAATGAGCACAATTGGTTCCACAGTCACTCATTAACTTTCAAGACCAGACTTGACCAACACTGGAGCAGGTTCAGGTACATTCAGGAGCCGGTTCATGCCCAGTACTTGCCAACAGTGCGTAACAGAGACGTGACCGATCGCCCAAGTGGCTAACGAGCTGATCAGTGGTGAAGAGGATCAAAGTAAACGTAAAATGTAACTGAATCTATTATTTCAATGGGATATTGGATAATTGGTTCCAACCCACAGAAAAGGTACATACAAAGTACTGTATACCGGTAATAGAATTAACAAAACATTAAATATAAACACTATATTATCAATATGTTAACTAAATTTCAGAATGACCAATAATTTTCATGTAAAAATGCAAAATTATTCAAGAGCACAACAAACTCGATGTTTTCTCCACTGGAAACAAAGATAAACATAGAACAGATTTTTGGCGGACTAGTCAATCAGCTGAAGCGCGCACCAATACGTGTTTCTCGTAAGGCTGTCGTTAATAGAATTTGTACTCGTTAATCGAACTGAAAGTCCTCACGGGAGCTAACTCATTAACCAAAATCTTGTTAATTGAACCGCTCGTTAATGAAGGGACTACTGTATATACCGTAAGTTGCGGCGTATAAGTCGACATTTTAAGCTTGAAAAAATCTCTCCCAAACCAGAGGTCGACTTATATGGCGAGCATAAAATGTGAAGCTTTACCACATAGTGGTAAACAAGTGGAACAGCCTGCCTAACACTGCATCACTTAGCATAACTCCCGTGGCCTGCCGCTAATATTTCCTACTGAAATTCATGTTTGGTAAACTTATTTAACAGAGATTATAATAAAATAGTAAATTCCAGTATAATTAAACGAACACAACACCACACACCATTTCCAACAGCTGATGAACTGTAAACAGTCGATCAGAACGCCACTAAACCCAGGCGGCCAGCCAGACAACTACTCGGTACTACGATGTGGGTCCATCTGTGCAATTTTATGATAGCGCTACAGATTGAGTTCACATACACAACAGGGGTAATGACAGTTTAATGATACATAATGGCAGTTTATTGAGTATACACACAATGTTCAGTGTGTCCCCCATACACTGAACAAGCCTACATAGCAATCTTGGCTTTATGCTCTTGTTGGCATGCACTCATTACCCACACACCAACCTGACAACACTGTAGATGTCTTCTTGTCCAGTTGTAGCTGTTTAACACTCAGGGTATTCAGTTTTTAAACAGCAGAAAATATCTTATTCCCACGGCTCCTCCAGCAAAAAGGATGACTCGAGTTTCAAGCTGAAAGTTGTTGCATTTGCAAACTCTTCAAACAACAGTGCTGCAGCAGATGACAGTCTAAGTTTAAGCTGTGCTGCTGTGTGCCGACAGTGTAACGGACCCATAGTTTTGCAGCTGGCCGCGTGGTGTTGGTGGCGCCACTGTCAGTTTGTTTACACCAGCTGATGCAAATGGCGGATCGTAAGCCAGGTGTACCATAATGTTCTACTATCATACTGTATATAGTGGTACTATCAAGGTGCTATACTGGTATGCTGTGTAAACAATTAATATTTTATTGGAGGAGCTGATTTTGGACTGGTGTTTACCAGAGTTCTTACGAAGATAACTTACTAAAGATTTTTGGCGGTTGCTTGCTGTCCTACGTAGATCCTGTTGCCCATTTCCCCTTTTGTATGAACATTTCAGTTCTAGCCTAGCCTGTGTTTGGGCCTTGGGGTGGGGGTTGACTTATACGGCGAGTATAGGCCAAAACCTAAATTTTGAACTAAAAGTCTTGAGGTCGACTTATACGCAGCAATTTACGGTATACAATACTGTATATATATGAACATAAACTCCCACCACACATCAAACAAAGATTTTTTAGGCAGCTTCAAGACCAAAAGTTTACCAACACCACTTCCACTCTTTCTTCCTTACTCTATAATTAGGTTTCTGTTATCTCTTCTTTCTTTCCATATCCATATTTCTTATAATTTACTTTTGTCAGTGCCTGCTTTTTTATATGAAGCTATTGTTTTGGTGCACTGCATCATTTTAGGCTGTGTTAGTCAGGTCAGTGCCTGCCATTCCTGATTGATTTACCTGTACTGATTATAATTTTTTGACCATTTTGTATGAAGGTTTTCTCCTGCCCTTTATCCTAGTTCACAACAATTTTATACTATCCACCTCTTTGCCCTCCTTGAGGCTCAAACTAAATGTTCTCAGTCGTAGTGTACATTAGTGTTCACGTACAGGAGATTGAAATGATATAGCTGGACTGTTAACTGATATAACTCAGATGTATTTCCTTATCAAAGGCATTTGTTTACTATTACTCTTGTAAGCTTGCAAAATTTTTCTTACCCTAAATTTTTACTGTAATTACATGATTGAATGGTGCTTGGATTAAAAGGAATAAGACAGATACATGTAATATGTGAGTCTTGGTGGAGCCTGGTACCTTTCTTCCATGTCCCCTGTCCCTCCATATTGCACAAAGTCAAACAATAAATTTTTTTTTTATTTAAAGAAATTTTCACACAAATATAGAAAAATTCTGTTTGCTTTACCTTTTCTTTTAACAAGTTACGAGGCAGCCATATTCACATAGGTAACCCCAATTTTTGCTTTTATTATTTTTCTAGAAGAAAAAGTGGAATATGAAGAAGTAAAACACACTTTCTACATAAATAACATGAAAGTGAGGGCTGATCTAGTCACCCCATCACCCTGCAACCCTCATTTCCCTGACCCTTAATCCCCACCAGGTCATATAAAGTCATATGCCAGTTTTGGGTTAGGGATGCTAATAAGATCTTGGAACCAAAATTTATGGCTGTGTGGAAGTCTTGATGATACTATAAAGCTGGTCCTTATTTGAATCCAATGGCTGTGATTGGAAACGGTCAGTATGTTCTGCTATGCTCAATGGCTGGCTTTCCTGAAACTTTCATCCACAGGCTGCACATGAGCCATGCTGTGCTTGGCTTAGCATTTAATGTTATCACCACCTCATAGTTGCTTACTCTTGCTGGCACATGAAAAAACTGTTTATTCCATTTTTTGTTTTTGACCGTATGATAATTATTTATTATTATTATTTTTTTTTCACATTCTGTGCGTAGGATTGTGTGAACATGTTACTGAGTAAAACAATATGAAGAAAGCTTTGTATACACTGTATACCCAAATTATGAGTTGGAAAAATAACCATAACACCTCAGCCAGGTAGGGAGACAACCCTGTAGAGACAGCAGGAGTTGCAGTGTTCATTTTGACATCCATCGGACCCTACCACGTAGATATTTTCTGGAGAGAGTGTACAGTACCAAAACCTTGATAGCTCAATTTTTAACTTCTAAATGTTTCCTTGATAAATTACAGTAATTCAAAACTTTGATATGTCATCATATACGTTAAAATTCACCCTTAGCTTGTTGTCAGCCTGTAATTCTGCCATTTTGGGTGCAAAAGAGCCACACTGTTTTACATCTGTCTTGAATGGAACTGAACAAATAAAAATAAAGAAACCCAGTAAGCAACTCAGGGAATTTATCAGTGAAATTTGCTGCTATTTTTTGTCCACATCTGTGGGAAGTAGAGAGTGAACTGAGCTGAGAACAGTTCAGAGGAGTATGAAACCTTTGTTGCAAAACATGTCATCAGGGCAAGCCTGACCTGGACTGACCTGACCTGACCTGACACAAGGAGAGTACTCCAATATATATTTTTATTTTACATTGGGGTTCTGGTATACAAAAACACTTGTTAGTATAAAGTTAGCATGAGATCTTGTAATGTGTTTTTATGTTGGTTGGTTGAATTTGGCATTGAATAACAGCTGCCACTGTTTTATCTGTGTGTCATGCCAATACTAATGCAATACATTTTAATAGCTCATAATGATGCTGACATGAATATCTTTTCAGTTCCCAGCAAATATAAGCCCACATTTCAATGTAAGTCTTTTTAAAACACTTCATAAGCCTACTTGGGGAAAATGGTGAGGCAGGGTTAGTCACTGATTCTCATTTAATGATGAACATGCACGCTTTGCAGGATTGTACTTGTGTACTTGGTGAAACTGAAGCTTTTTTTTCAGCTTTTCTTTTATTGTTGATTCAGCACTGTGCATTGTTTTACACACTTGTTGAAAATGAATTTAACAGTAAACCTCCATAATTCTGGTACTGTATTTGGGAAATTATTACACTCAGTTAGTATAAGCAGAAATCCCATAAAATGAATAAATATATGAATATAGAAAATAAGTTATTGATTCCATGTC